GCGCCGAGAAGACTTCATGTTTGCAAATGTCGGAACGAGGCGATCTGACATTTGTGCAAGTCTCTGGTTTTGTACACCAAGAAAATCTAAGTAAAAAATTGTGGCTGGCTCTAGAGTCTCCAAAACGCCGTTTTTCAGTGAATTTGAATTTCAGTGAAAAGCAGTTGCCCCGTTGTAACTAGAGAGCCCTTCCCCTGCGGTCGGTGGGACCGGGGTCGGTCCTGAGGCTGCTTCTCCATTTCTCTGTCCTGAGTTTTCTTTGGACGCCTTGGCGTCTGCTCGGTGCCTCTTCTCTCTCTCACGACGTGCCACGTTGCTAACTGGTGATGTTCTCGGCAGGCAGCGGGCACCGCCATGCTAACGTTTGGGGGCATCGCCTTCTTGTGCGGTTTGCTGACGCCAGCTCTAGGCCGTTTTCCAACCGATGCCGTCCTCAGGGTCAATAAAGGGGTACTAAGCAATGGTAAGTTGAACTGCGTGCCCTCCTAGGGCTAGACTGGAAAATAGGAGCAGTGGTCAACAGACGTGTTGAGGACCTGGTCCGGTGCAAATTCTTGGCCATGTGCAATATATGTTTCCTACTTGCCTCGTATATAGAGTATCTAGCTAGCGTGTGATAAGTCCAGGCAGCCTTTGCTGTCATTCTGTAGAGAGCGGGACTGGGTGGAAATAACACGGCTGCAGCAGCTAGAAGCTGTGCCGCGCTGTCAGTGATGGGCGAAGCAAGCCCCTTAACAACTCGTGCTTGCTGCGCCGGACCAGAACTACGCGGTCTCGCGCAGGGACCCGAGGTGGCCATCCCCATTCCTGAAATCAAGTGGCCAAAGCACAGAAGAGAAGCGGGCTCTCCTTGGTCGTGTGCTTACCATGTGCAATCTTTCCAGCTGTGGAAGGCTCGCTGGCAGAAGGCAGCGCCCTCCAAGGCGCGCTCCGAGAAGTACCCCTGGGCAACGGCGGTCCGAGCGCAGATGGAGGAGGAGGAGGAGGAGGAGGCGGCCTGCTCAGCGGCGTCCTTGGGGGCGGTGGTGGCAGAGGCCTACTTGGAGGTGTCACTGGTGGTTTACTTGGTGGCGGTGGTGGTGGGTTACTTGGTGGGGTGACCGGTGGTTTGCTTGGTGGTAGTGGCAGCCGTGGTGGCCTGCTTGATGGGGTGACCAGCAGCTTGCTTGGTGGTGGTGGCGGTGGTGACGGTGGTGGCGGCGGCGGCGGTGGTGGGTTAGTTGGTGGGGTGGCCAGCAGCTTGCTTGGTGGCGGTGGTGGTGGTGGTGGGTTAGTTGATGGGGTGACCGGAGGCTTGCTCGGTGGTGGAGGAGGTGACGGTGGTGGTGGGTTACTTGGTGGGCTGACCGGAGGCTTGCTCGGTGGTGGCGGCGGTGGTGGGTTAGTTGATGGGGTGACCGGAGG